AAAATTAGGGAAAATCGCCAAAATTCTTGATGTCTTTTTTCAAAATGGCAGATTTCCTGTTGGGTTTAGGGCTTGTTGCTGTTGGACTTTTTTGTGCATCCTGGCCTGCTACATATGCCCACTGAATTTCGTAGGTGTAGGTGAAATGACCTTCTGGCAGGATTTCGTTGAATGCCGGAAACACAGCGAAAATGCAAAAAATGGCCTTTTGTGGAAATTGTGCCGGCCGGCATTTCCACGCCGTCAGACCTTTGCAGAAAATTTTAATCACTTTTAATCACCATTTCCTGAAGTTTGCGCTTGCCAAATTTCACATGTGTACAATATTCCCCCTAGGAGTAGACAGATTTTAAAAATGCCCGAAAATGAGGGAAAATCGCCAAAATGCTTGCTGGGATTTTTCCAAAATGGTGGACTTCCTGTTGGATGTACAATGTGGGCACTCAGACTTTTTTGTGCGTCCCAACCTGCTACATATGCCGACCAAATTTTCTGGGTTTAGGACAAACGTGCTTCAGACGGGACACCATTGAAATTTTGTAGGGGGCGCTGTGGAGCCATTTTTCCATTCACACGCCCAATTCCTTTAAAATATCAAATCAATGGTAAGCCAAATATTCTCCTGTCTGTGTGCAAATTTTGGTGCGAGCCGGAATTAATTTTTCCTGTGTTGGTAACATCTCTGGAGGCTTGGAAAGATGCTGCACATGTCGATTCCGGGTTTTTACATTTTTTGTAAAATTATGAATCCAAGATATTCGACCTTTTTTCCATCACTCTGAGTTTTCCCTCCATCTTCGTTCTGTTTCCACTGAGCTGCAGGACTTTGGATTGCAGTGAAAAATGAGCCACAGTGAGGAGAAATGAGACGGGAGCAAATAAAAACACCCAGAATCTGGCAGGCAGCGAGCAGATTTTTACAAATTTGAGTAGAAAGTGCAGTCACGTGAATTAGTTAACAGCTTAAAGAAACGTCTTTTAGCTGTGGTTAACTTTGGTGATTTTTTTTTTAGGACCGGCGTATCGAGGAGCTGACCATCCTACTGGGTCAGTACAGGAAGATGAGGGAGGTCATGGCGCTGACTCAGGGTAAGGATTCGTCTTCTTCATGAGCTTTTTAAGCTGTTGAAGAAGCAAATTAAAGCCGTTCTCTCTGTTCCAGGGAGCAGCGAAGAAGAGCTGAGCAGCTTGAAGCTCAGAGCGATAACTCACAAGGCACATTCAGACATCCTCAGATCAGAGGTGAGACTTTGTCACATCTCCTAAAGGTTTTGATTAGTGATCAAACACCGTATGTCTCCACTAACGCTCCCTGATGCTTTTCTGTAAAAATGTCTTTGAACAGATGTCGTCGAGAGGATCTTCTCCACTGATGCTCTCCTCGTCTCCGTATCAGAGAGACCTGGACTCAAGGTAGAAACAATCTACACAGACTTTGTCTACTGACCAGAGTTCTACCTTCAGACTGTGAATAGTTCCAAGTCCGTGAAGTCCACAGAGGAGGGTCCAGATTGATCACTTTAATGGACTTTTTCCATCATTTCTGAGCCTCAGAACTTCATCAGTACAGCAGATGGACACATGACATTTAGGTGGAAGAACAAAATGTGTTCAGAATGGTACTGAAATTGTCCAAGATGACTCAAAAATGATCCCAAATTAAATAAACCTTGTTCAGAATGACATAAAAACAGTCCAAAATGACTTGAACACTATCCAAAACACTCAAAAATGATTCGAAACTACCTAAAAATTATTAAAAATATGACTGAATAAAAAGTATATTAAATGTCCCAGAAGTTCTGATGAAACATGAGAGAAACAATCAATTAAGTGCCTCAAAACAATGAGAAAGTGTCTTTAAATACGCCAAAAAATACTCAGAAAATCTTCCAAAAAAAATTCTAAAGAAAAAGGGCAGATATGTTAAAATATCGAAAAACAAACAAAATAAATAAATTTAATGGTCCACAATATTCATAAAAAAAAAAACATAAATATTACTTGTTCTATAAATTCGAATAAAATAATAAAGTGCCCCAAAAATATAAAAGAAAAGTGTCTCAAAATGCAGGTAAATGGTCATAAAATGTCCAAAGAAAAGAAAAAGAAAGATAAAGGGGCTCATACATTAAATAAATATCCAACAAAATGGGATTCGAATGTCTAAAAAACTTCCTAAAATGTCTGAAAAACTGAAATAAAAGGTGATAAATCTGGAAACATTCACAGTATGAAGGTAGATAAAGAACCAGCTGGTTCTGAGGAGGTTCTGCTTGATTATTAACCAACCAATTATTCTTGTTTGCCGTTTATTGCAGCTTCCAGAACTCTATGGACACTTCGCTGGTGTCTGCCGGCGACACCAGTTTCTTTAACGGATCCTGGTGAGTTCTGATCCGTCTCAGGCTTGAAATGTTTCCCACGCAGTCAGATGACTCGATGGTTCTGTCTCCTTACAGGCACCAGCGCCGGCTGATGTCCAGCAGCCTGGAGGAGCTGCAGAGTGGATCCCTGCAAAAGGTTTTTTCTGACGAACTCATAGTTACCTTAATCGACTAAATCGTTCGTCTAATCCAACCTACTGCTTCTTAAACATGTGATCAAACTCTCTCTGCTCTTGTAACCGACTGTGTGATGCTAACATGCTAACTCTTGGTTTGTGTGTGTTGGTCTCTCCTGTCTGTCGGCTTTAGGCTGTAGAGTTCCAGCCAGTTGAAACTGAATCACACGTAGTTACCGAGGTACTGACCTGCATGATGTTACACACCGAGTCTGTCGACACGGCAAAACACTGCACACTTTGTATTTATGCTTTTTTTTTATTTATATGTCTTGTGTGAAAAGAAAGCATATCCGGGTTAAAGTCCACTTACACGAGGTGCAATCGAAAGGTTCAGATCCTTAAAACTGCAAAATCAAAAGCAGAACTTGGTTAAATTTGGTGGTTAAATCAGTAGCAGAAACATTTTGTTCATCCCTTTGTTACAGTTGGAAATTTAAGATGCAAAACAAAACAGAAAGTACGTCCGAAAATATGAGGATAAAATGTGAAAATGTGCAAGGAAATTAAAAACACATGTGGACTGTGTGATGCATGATAGTTTCCTAGTTTCCTGCGACGCTCTGCTCCCAGTGCTCCTGCAACACTTCCTGGAGCTCCCAGTGTGTAGCCGTGTCAAGAACCGTCTGTGATGAGCTGAAGCTCTTAAACTGTGTCCAAACTGTAGCTTGGGTTTCATACTGGGGAAGAGAAAGAAGTCAAAGGAGGCCAAATACAAACCTGCATGGATCCACTTGAAAATAAACATCTGGAAGTCAGACACAGCTGCAAAACTGTAAAACCAAAATGAACAACTTTGGGCTCTGAGACGCTTGGAAACGTCAAAATGAAATAAATCACCATGAAAGATCTGAAAAGCTGCAGAAAAAAAATGAGATTTTTACTAAAAATTCTGACTTGGAGGATTAATAAGAGGCTTACAACAGTGAGTCAGTGACGTTATCCAAATTAGATGCAGCAGAAATGAAGCACAACACTGCAAACATCGTAGCGCCAGGCGGCCTCTTTAATGCATGTACGACACAAACATGTCGGCATTTGACGTTTTACAACAATAACATCCTGGAAATTATTCAAAATTTGTT